AAAGGCTTTTGTCTGTCTGTGTGATACCTTTGCCGGGAACAGATCAAGGATGCAAGCCCTCCAACTCCTGTAAAGTTAGTAAAAGTAAGCAAATGCGTAAGGTTTTCTTTGTTTTTGGCTTGTGAAATTCGCTGTGCTGGAGGAAATGTGTATTCCTGTTTTTGTGTCTTTTTTGTAACTTAAGGTTTTGCCTAGAGGGATTCTCTATGTTTTGAATCTGACGGTCTGTAAGATTATCTTCCATTCTGATCTTACAGCGTTGTTCTCATCTTTTTTTTGTTCTTCAAATAAAGTTCTGTTTTTTAAGAATCTGTCTGGGTTTTTTGGGTCTTAAAAATCCAACACTGGTTTGTGCTTATCTTGTTTGTTCTCCAGCCTCCCCAGCAAAGTGGGTGTAAGGGTTTGGGGGGATATTTTGGGGAAATAGGAACTCCAAGTGGTCCTTCCCCTGTTCTTTGTCTAAATCACTTGGTGGTGGCAGCATACTGTTCAAGGACAAGGTGAAATTTGTGCCTTGGGAAAGTTTTTAACCTAAGCAGGTAAAAATAAGCTTAGGGGGTCTTTCATGCAGGTCCCCACATCTGTACCCTAGAGTACAGATGTGGGGACCTGCATCTGTACCCTGACAATACCCCACATCTGTACCCTGACAATACCCCAGCCCCTTATTTCAAACCACATAGTTACCAGACCCCGATGAGACAGAGGAAGCCACTATGCTGTGCCAAACAGCCTGATTAGCCTCCCAAGGAGAAGCCCAGATGAAGCCGGAAACACCATCTTCCTCCTTCTCCTCAGTGATGTACCTTGCTCCTGTGGCTTGTTAGCAAATTTAATAAGGCTTTTAGGAACAACAACAGAGCCAATTAAGAGCATGCAACCTTCTGAATCCGCTTTTCCCCATTTCACAAGGCATGGTCTGCCATAAAGTTGGACAGATTGGTGTTAGAGAGCCTTATCCGATTTCACTCTGTAGCTCCTACCATCCCCTCTTCCCCCACCCTCTTCAGGAATCCTTCTCACAAGAGCCTGTTACAAACAGAAGTGGCTTCATTGCTTCATCTAAGAGCCAGCAAAAGTCCCAGCAGAATTTGGGAGGAAGAGGCTTCTTTCTACTCATGGCATTTCCTTGTCCCAAAAAGAAAGGGGATCTTCGTCCTATATTAGACCCGCAAATACTCAGCAAATACATGCACAGCCTCAGGTTCAGGATGGTAACACTTTCTTCCATCTTCCCATCTCTTCAGGCTCAAGAATGGTTTTATGCTGCTTGACTTGCAGGTTGTGTACTTCCATATGCTATCCAGGCAGCCCACAGGACATACCTAAGATTCATAATAGGGCCCACCCATTACCAGTACTTTCCATGCCATCAGGAGTATTCACAAAATGCCTGGCAGTGGTAAGCAGCATGTTTAAGAAGACAGGGCATTCACATCTATCCTTACCTAGAAGGCTGGCTGATCAGAGGCAGGTCTCAACAGGAGACTGCAACAGCCCTGGAGTATGTCCTCTTCGTGTTTCCTCAGCTAGGCCTCCTAGTGAACTTTGAGAAATTGTCTCTCAACTCATCACAGATAATAGCCCATAGGGATTCTGTCATAGACTTTCAGTTGGCAAGAGCCTACCACCCAGAGGACAGGTTCTAGTCTCTTCAATCCGTGACAAATTGCCTAAAATCTGATCTGATGACAATGGTACATGCTTGCTTAGGACTAGTAGGCTACTTGTCAGCATGTGCATATGTGATTCCAATTGCCAGGCTTCATGTGCGGTCCCTAATTCTATGGCAGATCACTCACTATCTAGGCACTACTTGAACAAGAGCCACAGGTCCACCTCAGGTCCTGTGGTAGCTGATTTCATGGCTGCAGCTGAAGAATGCTGTGACCCTGCCTTGGCAACAACACTCCTCACAGACACCTCAGGGACAGGTTGAACCATCTGCAGATGCAGGGAACCTGGTCCCAGGATGACTTGAAACTGTGTAAATGTCCTGGAGCTCAGGGCCATGAGCTTGGCCTGTGTAGGATTTCTGTCTGTTCCGCAGAATTCCTCAGCGGAGACCTTCACAAACAACCCCTCCTCAGTGCACTGTTATAAACAAACAAGAAGGCATTCATTTATCCCCTTTCTGCCAAGAAGCCATCAGGCTGTGGACATGGTGTCATCGGGATAATCCTGTTGTTTTGGCATGTTCCAGGAACCAGCAACAACCTGGGGTGACGCTGTCCTCAGGGCACCCAGAACCGTAAGCTACTGTGTTGTACCTCCTTGCCTCACAAGAGAGAGCTTTGCTGCAGCTTTAATCTGTCAGCTCCCTGCCTCATCAGCTAACTTCTTGAGACGCTGCCAGTCTTAACGTTGCCTTGCACATAGCGGTCAGTGGACCCCAGTTCCAGAGTTCTCCAGTGATGTGTCTCTGCAGTGTCCAGTCCCTCTCACTGGACACTCCCAGAAATTTTTAAGTTCGCTGCTTCCAAAGAGACAGTGCACACACCAGCCTGTTAGTTTAGCTGAGGACTGACACTTTACTTCAGTATAACAGCACTGAGATGGTTTATAGTAAAGAAAAGAGATGTAAGTGATACTAAGTAAGAGGGAAAAAAAAACAGGTATGGTAACAAACAAAATAATAAAACATGCTTTCCAGTGTCCAAGGCTGAATTTTATCAAACTAGCATGTTTGTCTAGACAGCTTTCTCCCTGGCCAAGGCAGTTCTATCTGTCAGACCCGTTGCAAATATCCAGCTGGCCTCCAGTATATCTCCCAGCCTGTCCAGTCATAATCTCAGAATCATGGTTAGTTTATTGCATCACGACCCACAATCATTGCACTTAATGGCTTGGATGTTGGCGACAGACAGACACTGCTCTATACAGATTCAAGAAATTCTCATCCAGAGCAGGAAGTCATTACTAGGAAATCCTACTCCTCTAAATGGAAAAGATTTTCCATATGGACAACTTGACAATCTAGACTGAGTATAGACCCTGAGATTGAGAGTCCTCGACTACGTGCTGAGCTTCAGACTGGCCTAGCGTTTAATTCTCAAGGTCCACCTTGTTGTAACGTTGGCATGTCACATTCTGGTGCAGTTTTGCTCAGTCTTCTCATATCAAACAGTATCCATTTTCCTCAAAGCCCTTCTGCATACTACTCTCCTGTTAGAGACCCAACCCCAGGTGGGACCTCAGTGTCATTCTCCCAAAACATATGGAGCCTCCTTTTGAGCCACTGTCAAATTGCTTGGTACGCCCCTTTACCCTCAAGATGTGTCTTTATAGTTGCTCTGCAAGGAGAGGGTCAGCAAGTTCCAAGCCCTTCTAACCAGATTTCCTTTTACAACCTTTTAGAAAGATAAAGCTGTGTCGAGACTGCACCTTAAATTCATCCCTAAGGTGGTCTCCAAATTCAACGTCAATCAGTCAGTAAACCTGCCAGTGTTCTTCCTAAAACTTCACTTGATGCTGGGAGAAAAGAAGCTGTGGGCTCTGGATGTCTCGAGCTCTATTATAGCAGTAGTCAATAGTCAGACAGCGGGGCAAATCCAGACCACCAGACACTTTTGAATGGACCCTGAAATCTTTTTATTTACTTATGATCATTATTGTTTTTTTTTTTAATTTGCTCTGGAGTCTGGACCTTGACTATACCTTGAGCAAGAAATTTGGACATTGATAAAAAAATAATTGACTACCCCTGCTCTATTACCTTAATAGGATCAAGGTTATGTCCCCACCTCTTTGTGGCTATATTCAGCCCATCAAAAGCCCAACGTGTCTCATCGTAGAGACTTTGAGTAGATCGTGCAGTGTTTTTCTGCCTGCTTTCAGATAGCCGATGGTCCTGTGCCTCCAAATATCAGGGGACTCCACTGGGGCACAGGCAGTGTCTTGATCCTTGAGCTTCAGAAATATGCTGCTATTTGAGATCTGCAAAGCAGCAACATGGATCAACTCACTTACCTTCATTAAAGATTACACTCTTGAAATGGCAGCCAGGTCAGATGCCAAGTTGATGGGAGCGGTGCTGCAATCATTATTTCACTAATAATTTCCACTCTTTAGAGGATGCTGCTTGCCTGTCAACTACAAAGGGATCCATACTGACACACATTTGAGAAGAAAGAAGGGTTACTTACCCAACAGTAGCTATAAGATGCAGTCAGTTTGGGTCCCACTGCCCACTCTCCATCCCTGCTTTTCAGAGTCCTCTGCAACCATGGGCTTTGAACTGTGAGGGAACGAAGGGAAAGTCACAGCTGCTCCACCCTTTTTGCTCTCATAGAGGAGCATGAGGAGGCACAGGATGCATGTGCGGCTCCAGTAGACTGCTATGCAAAAGGACACATGCACATGGGGCACATGTGCGCTACTGTAAGATCTATACCTGACAACATTCTCTCCAAGAGCCACCGTTACTGTAGTAGGGCAAGTAACTGTTCTTTTTCTGATGTTTAGGAGTTGATAGCTATGGGTTTTGCTGTTTCCTGACTTTCAGATACATTTGCTTTTGTTTTTAACCTTTGCTGTGACTTTACTGACTTTCAGACCTCTTCTATTTTAGTAACTGCAGTATTCTAATCTGGTAAATTTTTCTGTTTGTAACTTGAATTCTGCTTTATGAGAGACGGTGGTCTGGGAATATTTAAACGCCATTTTATTTCTGCCCTTTTGAAGAGATTTACTTAGTTCTGCATTAGGTGGAAACATGCTGGTAGGTCCATTTCACAGCATGCTCAATTCCAGATTCTGTTTGTTCTTAATTGATTTGAGCAGATGTAGTGTGAAGGTAGCCAGTACTTCTAAAGCATCCACTGTTGGCAGGTGTCTCCTGCATTGTACATTACTTTGAATCTTGAAGTCTCTATTTGACACCTATACTCCTATCTTTGTTTTGAGTTTATTCATGCATTTTTCCAAGTGATCCTGATACTCCTTTGTCTCACAGAAGGCTTGTGACTTACGATGAAAACGTTTTTTTTCTTATTTTGTAGCCATTTCCACTGGTCTCCTCTTCCCGGTGGTTAGTGAAAAGGGGTGAATTAACAGCATATGTGGAAGACACTGGACTCTTCTCTAAAAGGACCTGTAAGCAGCAAGTGTACTTCTTCCTCTTCAATGATGTTCTTATTATCACAAAGAAGAAGAGGTAAGGGATTCGACACTCTAAAACTGCATGTGTGTCTAATTCCTTGAGTCACACGCAAGCCACAATTGTCTTGAATGTTGCATGAGTCACCCTGGGGAAATGAGAACGTAAACTTCCTGGCTTCACAACGGCTAAGTTTATTCAATATTTACCTCAAGTATAATTTATTGTTCCCAAAGCCTTTTTAGATTATTCCTTTAGCAACTGTTTGCATGTTTGAGTGAATGAGGAAGATATGAGAAGAAGCGGTTATGCATAATATGCTTGCAGCACAAAAACAAAACCTCATGTGAGTGGAAATGTTGACTAAAAATGCATTAAGTGCTGCCAAAACATCTACAGTTTTGTAGTCATACATTTTGGTATGCTGTGCCTGTACAAAGAATGAATGAATTAAGGAGGCATTTTTGAGTCTCTCCTATTTCTCCATCAGACCATACTCAGAATTGCATTGGTTGGAGATCAAACAGAAATGAAAATTCAATCCAGTCATAGTGACTCAGCAAAGGTATACATTTTAGCAAGATAAATAAATATGTAGAACAGGAATGTCTCTCCATACTATTCTTTCCTGGAGAATCGGTATCAGTGATGTGATAGAGGAGGCTGCTGGGAGCACCCTGTTAAAATTCCACCACCAAATTGAAGGGATCGTTACAGTCATTCCTCTGCCTTTGATGGAGTTCATGCCCTCTGCAGATGCTGCTCTGTCATTCCTGACAGAGATGATTTGCTCCTGTGGTTACTAAAAAATAGTTTTGAAGAGCAAATGTTCTGCTTTTGGGTTGACCAGTTACACCAAATATCAGGTATTTTAAAAATGATTTCGAAAATCTTGAGCCTGTGCTTCAAACAGTACGATTGAGCATTATGCTATAATTCTGTTGTAGTTTATGCATTTTTGAGAAACAAAATGTGAACACTTCCAGCAAAGTGTGGCATGATTTGTTTGCTGCCTTAGTTCTTGGTTATATTCAAGTGAATAGATTTCTCCCCAGCCTGTTCACTGTAGTACACACACGGCTGGGACACAGGGTTTATCACAGGCTACAGGGAACACTTTTATGGGAGCCCCTTTTTGAAACGTTGGCAGCGCATCAAAGATTTGAATCACACATGTTTAAACAGTGTGTTTCTTTCTGTTCTCAGGGGACTAAAGTTAATATTTTATTGTGCTGGTAGCTAAGTAAACTTCTGAATTGGAAAACAATGAAAAAGTCTATTATCTGTATTACATTGTTTATTGGTTTCCTGTGGAATAGCTTGGTTACCCAGCTTCTGAGATAATTTTTTGTAATAATGTATTCTTTCCAAACTCTGGCTCTTTTGATTTATAACATCTTCCAGCTGTTGGAATCTGTGAGATCCTAGTGGACCCTATAAGTTACAGTAAATAAAACGTGATCTTAATTATGGAGTTTATATATTCACTGTACCAAGATCTTTCTAAATAAACACATGAAGTTGAAAAGTATTGATTCCTGTGATTCTACCACAGTCATTCTGATCACAAAATATGTACTGCACAAATGCAGACAAACTTACTAATTACATTCTTTTATGTGATCCATTGCACCTTAGCTGTGCAAAAAAAAATCCATTCCCATGCAGTTTTTCAAAGTTAAATTTGAACTGGCTTCTGCACATGTTATAACATTAAATAATTTAATGACTGTACTAACACCATTGGTACAGTTCCTCTAGTTTTTAAGATGTAACCAGGGATATTTTGAAGGTGATATTCAAGTTTAAGACACTATGTGTTTACATTTGCACATTTGGGTTTCACATGCTTTTTTCACTGCTGCCATAAAAATCACTTTGTTGCACCCCTGCATTATAAGTCCTAATCATTCAGCTCCTTGAAATTGTACAAAATGAGTTTTCTTTCTGTATCCTGAAGCTTATTTTCACTTGCCCTGTCCAAGTTATTAACCATATTTGTAGAGCTCAGCACAATAAGGAGTGATTAAGTCCAAATTCTTTAAAGGCCAGGATTGATGGTATAGGTCAAAGTAGTCCCACAGATAACTGATAAGCAGTGTTGGTCCAACAACATTCAGCATGTAGAGCAGTACTTACATTTAGACTCAGACTTTAAGGACAAAAGGGGCCAGCGTGATCATCTAGTCTGACCTCCTGCATATTGCAGGCCACAGACTCTCACCCCCCCCTTTCCTGTAATAGACCCCTAACCTCTGGCTGAGTTACTGAAATCTTCAAATCTTGATACAAAGACTTTGTTACAAAAGTTTTACCTACCAGAAGTATAATTAAAAGAACTGCATTTGTGTATTACAGTGAGCAAGCACTCCAGAAAAGCATTTGTTCAGTGAGATTTAGCTATAAGATGATAAACCTCATGATACTGTACACGTAGGCATGCTCCGCATCAGGTTTTAGGCTTTCATTCCTACAGTGCTTTCCTCGTCAGATCCATCCACAGCCCCTAGTTTGAGCTCATCCTGCATTTGTAATGGTAAGACTTAATGGCCTACCTTTATGTTCTCAAATAGTTGAATGGGATTTAGCAACCCAATTCCCCTTGCTTTAATGGGCATCATATGGCCAAATCCCATGGAACTCTGAAATATTTTAGAGGCTTATGCTTTAAACATCATGCTGCTTTGCAGCCCAATCATGCATAAGTATATTAAATGCGCTTTTGGGGATCGCTTAGGGCCCCATTTACTTTTCTGTGTATCACAAAGAAGCAGGAAACTCAGAGTTGCTTCAACATGCTTGTTCTTTGAGGGGTTAGGGCACTGTAGTGTCTGCTGCAGAACAGCCTGGCCCTTGAAGCTAGCAGATCACAGGAGACACCCAGTGAGTCCCTGTGCTTTTGTGCAGCTGGCCTGCTGGCAGCATGGTTCCATTGGGCCATAGAGCATTAACACCAAATGGATTTCTAATGATTAAATCCACAAGGTTGGTTGAGGGAACCTGCTTGAGTGGCTCTTCCACTGCTTCACTCCTCACTGTTCCTTCAAAAGTGTGAGAGGCCTGGGCTCCACTGTTTTTACCTCAACTGAGTCATTGTCTTCCACATCCCTCCTGGCTGGGGGGAATTAACAGTTGGCAAGTTATAGCCTGAATCCAGCATCTTTTTTTACCTTCTGGTCCAGAGCTTTAAATAGTGGCTAAAAATTCCATCCCTTCTCCATTGTTTAGCATGCAGCTTCTTGTGATCCTGATTCAGTTTATTCTCCAGCTTCTGTGGAGTCTTCCAGGACGTAGACGATATCTGCATTTTTAATGTAAAAATCACACATGGACTTTTTACGTAAACTTTTCTGGCCGCCTTAATACAAACTTTGATTTCTATCTCTTGAATGCATGATGGAAGACTGAATGTATCCAGGGTGTCAGACTCTTGGAGAGACTCAAATCCCATTTTTATGCTTGATGGACTGGGGCATAACTTTAGTGCCGGTCACTAACCACCATGCATGGCGGCTCTCCCGTTGATGTCAAAGATTTAATGGTAGACAGCGGCCCTTAAGTAACAGCTTAAGTATTCAGCTGCTATTGTTATGTATGTATTCAGTATATGTTGTATTCATCATTACTCAGTGAGAAAAATTACCACCACTATTTTTACTTTCCTACCTTTCCCGTCTTTCTTCCCTGTTTTTTTTTCTTGTTCTTCCTCTGCATTTTCCTTCCTGCAGCAACACCAAATTCTAGTCCTCTGTGCTTCACACTCATCCTTATCCCCATTACATCTACTAATATGATTGCTAATGGAATGGTTCACATTGACATTAAAGTCCAGTAATTACCCTTCAAATGTAAACATCCTAGGGGGCAGAGGAATTCACACGCTTTGTCTCTTGAGTCATTATTTCAGGCTTTTTGTATCAGGCAGACAGCACTTTATTAGCTGTACTTGGGTCACATCTTGAAGGTTTTCTTCACAACTATGACAGCAAGCAGTTTTTTAAAATGAATATCCAATTCTACAGAAACCAAGTATTTAATGTAAATACCTCACATAAATACCTCAAGCAGGTATCTACCTATACAAGGGTTTACATGTGACACCTGAGATATAGACAGTGCTGCTTTAAAAGAAAGGTACCCCAATAGGAATCTCTATATTTTGCTAGTAATATTAATCTTACTTTTATGTGTTCCTCCCAGGTTGAACTTCCAGGGCCATCCCCTCTCCTCTTGCTACAGTTGTGTATATAAAACATATCCATTCTGAACTTGACCCAAGGCACTGTTATGGAATTGCTAGGTTCAGAGAACTCTTCATATGTTGCCTTTTGTCACAGTGTAACTCCCTTCTCTTCATGTGCCAATATATTTATGTCTGCAACTGTAATTTTCACTCCATGCATCTGAAGAAGTGGGGTTTTTAACCTATGAAAGCTTATGCTCAAATAAATCTGTTAGTCTTTAAGGTGCCACCGGATTCCTTGTTGTTTCTATAACTACATTTTCCCAACCAGTCAGAGAGCTCAGAAAATGAACTGTCTGTAGGAACATCCCTATAACTTCTCACTGAAGCCTGGAAGTGTTTGCCATAGCAGCATTCCGCTAAGGATAGAACAGAGCTCCCTCTTGAACCTGCCTGGATTGGATAGCTCCTATGCACACAGTCCTGGGATCAAGAAGGTCTGGTTAAGGATTCCAGCTTTCAATATGGAGTGGCTGCATTTGAGCTGGCATGCTGTGGTCCTCCCTTTCCACTCAAGAAGTAGTGAGTTCATGCTATGTTTAACTATAGTTGAAGTGGACATTCTTTATTCACCCATTCAAAAAAGACCCTCAAACTGCAATATTGTAGATTATTAAAAGGTTTCTCACAAATTGCAAGGATACCTCTATTTTAGTTTTCAGAGTAACAGCCGTGTTAGTCTGTATTCGCAAAAAGAAAAGGAGTACTTGTAGCACCTTAGAGACTAACCAATTTATTTGAGCATAAGCTTTCATAGGTTAAAAACCCCACTTCTTCAGATAGCATGGAGCTATTACCAGCAGGACAGTGGGGT